GGAGGCCAAGGATGGATCCTTGGGGTACCCGCAGGTAACCGGGTGAGAGAAGGAGGAGAAGCCGTTTGTGCAGATGTACTGCTGGCGGTTTGTGAGGTAGGACTCGAACCAGGCAAGTGCGGTCCGAAAGAGGTGGATGACGATGGAAAGGCGGTGGAGGAGGATGGCGTGATCGACTGTGTTGAATGCGGCAGAGAGGTCCAGGAGGACAAGGAGGCAGAGGGAACCCTAGTCACAGATAGAGAGGGTGTCGTTTGTGACTTTCACAAGCGCAGTTTCTGTACTGTGGGCAGGGCGGAAACCGGACTGGAGGGGTTCGAAGAGGGAGTGGGAGGAGAGGTGTGCGCGAGTTGATTGCCAATAACACGTCCTGGGACTTTTGCGAGAAAGGGGAGGTTAGAAAAAGGGTGGTAGTGGTTGGGGTTTGAGGGATCTAGGAAGGTTTTTTGAGGAGGGGGATAATGACAGCAGTTTTGAGGGAGGCAGGGACTGATCCGGAGGAGAGGGATTGGTTAATGACTTCAGCCAGAAGTGGGCAGAGGAGGGGGAGCTGAGTGACCAGCAAGTTGTTGGGGAGGGGGTCGAGGCAGCAGGTGGTGGGTTTCATGGAGGTGGTGGGTTCCATGGAGATAACAATAACTTGTACTTATAGAGCGCCCTCCTTAACAGGGTGGAGCCTGACTCCGAGTCTGGGAGAGTGACCATAAGTACAGTTGAAAAGGAAGATTTTCAGGTGGACTTGGAGAAGGGGAGAAAAGGGCCAAGGCGGAGTGATTGAGGGAGGATGTCCCAGAGTTTTGGGGCATAGTGGCTGAATGCACGACCTCCAATAGTGGAGCGGAGGGCATGAGGGACAAGCAGGAGGCTGGTGCCAGTCAAGTGAAGGCGCTGGGTGGTAGATTGGGGTGTGAGAAGGTCAGAGAGGTAGGGAAGTGCCAGGGAATGAAGGGATTTGAACACAAGTGTGAGGATCTTGAAGTCGATACGTTCGGTGATGGGGAGCCAATGGAGCCTGGCCAGAACTGGTGAGATCGGGGTACAGAGTTTGGTCCGGGTAAGTATGCGGGCAGCAGAGTTCTGAATGAGTTGGATTTTTTAAATAGTGGAGCTGGGGAGACTGGTGAGGTCCCTATTAGTACATAGGAGTCCTGTAGCTCAGTGGTTAGAGCACTCGCCTTGCAAGTGAGAAACCTGGGTTTGATTATGGTCAGGGCGAAACCTTGGACAAGTTTCTTCACTCCACATGCCTGATAATAATCCCTCAAGAAAAAAAAAAAAATTGTTCATTTTCAATCCACGACTGTTTGTGGGACACTGCTGTGTGCAATTGGCTGCCGTGTTTCGCCCACAAATATACCGTCAATTCACTTTACAATATATTCTGTGAAGCGCTTTGAGACGTCTAGAAGACGTGAAAAGCGCTATATCAAATGCAAGAATAATAATATGGTGGGTGAGAGGGAGGAGGGAGAGATGGGGAGGAAGGAATGTAGGACACAGATGATGAGGAGGGTGAGGGGGACAGAGAGGGCATGGTGATGGGTGACAAGAGGCAGGTGGATGAGGCTGCCTGGAGGATGTTGTGTATTTTAGATGAAAGATGTCCATGATCTCCTCGCACTTGGCATTTGATAAGATTGAGGAGGCCTGAGGTGGGGCACGGACGAGGTAGTGGGTGGTAGAAAAAAAGATTTGAGGGTTGCGTTTAGCCTCCAAGATGATGATGGAGTAAAAGGCCGTTTTGTGCGTGTCAAAGAATGGCGTTAGCTGTGGAGATGCTCGAGCCACAGTTGGCGGTGGACTGTCAGGCCAGTTTTCCGCCATTTGCGCTCGAGCAGCCGGGTTTGGATTTTTAGGGAACGGAGATGGTTGTTGTACCAGGGAGATCGGGTGGGTTTGGAGATGGTCCTAGATTTCAGGGGGCCGAGGGAGCTGAAGGTGGAGGAGAGGCGATCATGGAGCAGCTGGACGGCTGCTTCAGGATCTCCGCGGCTGGAAGGCCAGAGGGATAGGATGTTTGATGATGTTAGGGCCTTTTTGAGGGTCTCAGGAGGCAGCCTTTTCCAAGGGCGGTAGAAGCTGGATGAGGGCTTGGTGGAGGGGAGAGGGATGTGAGAGGAGAAGGAGATGAGGAAGTGGTCCGAGATGGCCTGGTCCACTATGCTAAGGTCGGAAATGTCAAGGCTGTGGGTGATAACGAGGCCAAGGGGATGACTACGGTTGTGGGTAGGTGAGTTTATGTGAAGGGTGAGGTTTAGGGAGGAGGAGGGCAGTGAAGTCGGCAGAAGTAGTGCAAGGGGAGTTTAGGTGGAGCTTGAGTCGTGGAGTCCTGTAGCTCAGTGGTTAGAGCACTCGCTTTGCAAGTGAGAGACCTGAGTTCAATTCCAGGCAGGGCGAAACCTTGGGCAAGTTTCCTTACTCCACACGTCTAATAATAATCCCTCCAAAAAACAAAAACAATAATAAATTGGTCATTTTCAATCTACGACTGTTTGTGGGACATTACTGTGCGCAATTGGCTGCCGCGTTCGCCCACAAATATACAGTCAATTCACTTTACAGTGTGTGCTGTGAAGCATTTTGGGACGTCCTCCCGACGTGAAAAGCGCTATATCAAATGCAAGTATTATTATTATTATTAAATCGCCCGTTATGTGCAGGCATTCGGAGCAGAGGGACAGAGAAGAGAGGAGAGTAGAGATGTCTGTGTGGAAGGAGCCGGGGGGCTTAGGGAGGCGGTAGACAAGGAGGATTTTTAATAGGAGAGAGGGTGAGGTGCTCGAAGTAGGAAGTAGCCAAAGAAGTAGGGGGTAAGACCAAGGGAGGCTTTAGAAATGAAGGCCACCCCGCCGCCATGTTGGTTTGGTGGGGAGGCTTCAAGGAGGGGGGACAGGGTCATTGGGGGAGAGCCAGGTTTCGGTGAGCCCAAGAATGTCAAGGTGCTCGTCCAGGATGAGGTTGTGGATGATGAAGGCTTGTTTTGAGAGGGAACGGACATTTTGGAGGGAAATGCGGGTGGGTTTGCTGGGGGGGCGGAGGGAGGAGAGAGTGATGCAGAGAGGATTTTCGGGTGTACAGGAGAGATGGTTGTGGAGAGTGGTGTGAGTGGAGAGTTGGGAAGGGTACATATGAGGGGGATGTTGGGTTTGCCTTAAGGAGGCGGTTTGAGCGGAGTGAATGAGTGATGGGACACGTGGGTTTGCTGCTCTGGGACAGCCAGTATCGGGAGCCACGATGGGCCCGGCAGAGGATGCCCAGATTGGAGCAGAGTGATTGGGTCGAGGAGAGAGAGCAAGTGGGGCGGGCGGTGGGAGAGAAGGACAGAGGGGGAGTAGCAGATAGAAGGGAGTGGGAAAAGAGACATAGAGAGGGGTGGGAGGAGAGACATTTAGAGTGGAGAGGGAGGGGGAGGCTCAGGTCGGGATGGCAGCCAAAACGCACACGCAGAGACCGGGATGGAGCAATCAGCGGGATGGCATCAGCCCGAGGCCTGTGTGCTCATGGCTGGGATGGCAGTGGCAGGGGCTGCCAGGCCATTGTTGTTGTCGTTGCTGGTTTTTTTAACTGCGATGTCACGTCGATGTCACCTTGTGAATCGCGCCACCCCGTCCAATGTGCCTATGCGCAGAGAAATCAAATGCCGGCTGCCGAGGAGAGGCCAAAATGGCCAACTTCTGGATCAAGCCACCGACACCACTTTCTGTGCAATGTGTACATGCAGCACTTGGGAAGCAACATTGGCAGCATCTTGATGAATTGGGAAGTCACCTATTTTGGCTTTTCACATACCAACCAATGTTTTGTCATTCTATTCGTTTCTGATTGTTTCTGATGGAGCAGATTAGCATATTTGGCATATTCTGAGTAAATTGATGTCAGGTTCCAAACACCGATCACCACAATAAGCGAACCAGTGTTATAATGAAGTGCTTTATAACAAGGTTCCACTGTATTTGACCAGACAACATAAAGTGGGAGCTGCAAGCTGATTCAGTAAAGATTAATTCTAAGAATCTGTGGGACCAGGATAAGAACGCAACAAATGACATTTCACCCAGGTAACATCCTAGAACTGAAAGTCAACAGAATAGCAACTCAACTATTTATGTTGAATTTGCCACAATAGGAACTTTTGATACAGGAAAACCAGAAATATTACTAACATTTCTCAAACTCACTCATCACATTATATGGTACTATATTATATATATAAAAACATTAGTTATATGTAACGATAAATATATTAATGGCTTGAAGGGATCTACTAATTTTATCTTCAGACATGCTCAGATTCTGGCATTTTATCAAGTAGCTGCAAAGCAGAAAGGACTGCGAGTATTTCTATTGGAACAAGTGAAGGAAGAAACGTGAGATTGTGTGTAGGTTTCATTTATCCAGTATAAAGTGGGAGGAAATTGTATAACTTCAAACAATTGAAAATCCTTGCTGGTACATTTGCCCAGTGATTTTCTCCAAGTTTGCAGAGAAGTGACCTATGTTTGAAAGTAAGTGTGCGTGTTTGTCTACTTGGTGAAGTTGGGACTGATTTGGGTGTTGTGTTCCCACATTGTCAAACATGAAGAATGATTATTCGGATAAAGTACAGAGAGTGGCTACAGCCTCGAAAACACTCCAGATTAAAAATAGATCATGGGAGCTATATAACTGAGTCAATCCAGGGCCATTCAAGCAAAGCTACTGATTCAATTGATTTGCACTGAGCACAATTTGTCCTAGATGTAACACAGATGGTGGATGTGAATGTAAAATTATACTTTATATAGCGCTCAACTTCAACAAAGAGAAAAACAATGAACAATTGTCTTAATGAAAATAATGCGTGACATATGCCAGTTATAGCACATCACCATATTTGATGTTATATCAGAGCAACCTTCAGTCAAGTTTACTATTTCTTAAATAAACATAGCTCGGATCACAACACCATTGTCTCCTGCTCTGGCTATTAACTATTGAAGTTCAAAAAGGTTTTTACTCACTTTCAACCACTCCTGGGATTGCCTTGTAATTCTGGAATTGGTAGAAGGATTTTTCTAACATATATTCGGGGTTGATCTCTTCGACACGAAGCAGATTCAAAACCATGTTATACGTCAGGTGAAAGGCACTGTTAAGAGCATCAGCTGTACCCTGCAAAATGCAAGACCACCAAGTTGTTAAAACAAAACAAAGTGATGGACATTTCTCTAGATAATTAAACCGTTATAAAAATATTCAAAAACACATTTATTCCTGCATATTCAAAGAGCCCTTCAAAGATCTACACTGAAGTTATCCAAGTATTGGTTTGAAAAATATATACCCCTACAATGATTTTTTCCAAAACAAGTTGGCAGGTTTTACCCGATGAGGACTGCCATCTTCATGGCATTTGAGGCAAGATACAGAAACTGTGTCATTGCTTGGCCTGGCTACCACAATCCCTGATAGGTCAATATTTAGGAACAGTGAGAATCAACAAGGACAAAATGGCAATGGAGAGAAAATAAAACTTTGAATAGTGATTTTTTTGAATGAATACAGTACTATTTGTGGAGTCCTGCAGCTCAGTGGTTAGAGCACTCGCTTTGCCAGCGAGAGACCTGAGTTCAATTCCAGGCAGGGCGAAAGCTTGGGCAAGTTTCCTTACTCCACACGCCTAATAATAATCCCTCCAAAACCAAAAACAATAATAAGTTGGTCATTTTCGATCTACGACTGTTTGTGGGACATTGCTGTGCGCAATTGGCTGCCGCGTTCGCCTACAAATATACAGTCAATTCACTTTACAGTGTGTTCTGTGAAGTGCTTTGCGACGTCCTCCCAACGTGAAAAGCGCTACATCAAATGCAAGGATTATTGTTATTATTATTATTATTTCTGGACCAGAGAGACACACAAATCACATTGCATCAGAGGTAAGAAAACTCATGGAACAGGAAATTTATGGAAAATAGACAAATGGTTGAAAGTACCATAAAAGACAATTAAATCCAGAAATCAGAAAAATTATGTGTGCGGATAGGTACAACACGTTGCATTTATCCAGCAACCCCCCATTTCACACGGGGTAGCATCTCAGAACAGAGGACATTTTAAAATGTCACCAGGGTATACAAAAGCTAAACATGTTGTAAAACAAATCTTTTCATTGTTTGAATGTCTAAATAATACAGGGTATTCTATTTATTTATTAATTATGAAGATCTGAAGCACATCTGAATACACTGTGGAAAGTGCCTTATAAATACAAATGTTAAGACTTTGTGGTCCAATAAAGTTATGCTTTCCAACTCATTGCTTTTCTGCCAGCACTGCACTTAAACCTATGCAGGGAAGTAAACTTTGATCCCTCTAGACAAAGTCCTCGGTGTGCCCTGACCAAGTCAATCAACATGATTTTGACAACAAAATACTGTAAAAACCCAAACTGGCTTCAATTTATAAAACATGGCAATGTCTCTACAAACTCGGTCTTAGATTTCAGAGAACTAGAAATATTTGTAAATTCTGTTGACATAAGTTTGATAAATACACACAAACAAGCCAAAAAAAAGTACTTTATTGAGATTAAATGGGATAGTGAGTTGTTTTTTTTTCTGGAAGAGCTGCTTTTTGCCATACAAGAGGTCTTTGGCAAACAAACATCTTGGAGCAAGTCTAATTACTCCAAAATTGCTGTGAAAATGCCAAATTGGCAACTGCAGTAAATTTATGTATGTAAGAAAGCCTGAAACTAGGAAAAGCTATTTGGCCCATCAAACTCAATCTTTCCAAAGAGAATATAAAATCCAATCCATTAGTTATTCTTCCCCACCCATGTATTCTCCAAGGCATTCACAGGGTCTCCAAGCAAACCTCAGATTATTCATGCATTCACACATCTCCACCAGCAGGAACACAGAATTCAGATCAGTGCCTAAAGTGACCCAAAGGCCTCATCCCCATTGAAGTATACTGCTCGAGACACATCCAGTTAGTCCCACTAGTAGAACAGTCTAGCAGTGAAGAAGGTGGGTCGGGTCCTAAGGATTTTCCAAAAGCAATAGTTGCTCACCATTCTCTCCTCCCACCCCACCCAAGGCTCAGGCTGCCAGTCAGTAGTGTGAAGTGCTTTAATACATCCTCTCTATGTGAAAGCCGCTATATAAATGTAAACTGCTGCATAGAATGTATATTTTGGATAATTTTCTCTTTCTGAGTGGGGTGGGGAAGAAGGAAAGTATTTTGAACAGGAAATGCTTTTCCTAGACTTCCCTTCCCCTTTAAACATTTGTAGTATATTGGGAATTAGAGTAAAAGTGTAAATCTAAATTTGATAAACATGTTACGCACAATAATACTGACATAGTATACAGTAATGCCATGCTTATTTATTGTTTTGCTTTCAAATTCCATAACAGTGCACGGAAAACAAAATGCACTATAAATCAGTTATCTGTCTAAATGAAAAAATTCTCCTGAAGATGCAATGTAGGTTTGACAGCAACAGCAATGCCATATAGTTCAAATGTCAGAGCAATATAGTCTTCAAATACCTCCCCCACATACATACAATTAAACAACGAGGTTATAGGGTTGCCCAGACTTATTCCTATTAAACCATTTCTTCTGTTTTTTTACCAGAACAATTATTCACTAAGCATACATATTCTTATGCTAAAAATACATCAAGTTGCCACAAGCTACTTATGAAGAAATATCTGCATCAAGACTTGCTGAACTTTAACGAAGGACATTTATTTTTAAATGGTAAATTTGCAGCCTCTACGTGCATAAGCTCCAGACCTCACAGAAGTACCATAAAGCTCACTCAATTCATATACACTTTATAAAGTACACATTACTTTGTTACATAAATAAAAATGATCAAAGGCAACCACCAATTGTAGTTTCATAGTTGTAAAACAAAGTGGAACAAAGCATTTGAGATAACTACAACTTTCAGCTTTCCCCATTTTTCTTTCCCCTGAAAATAGACAGCTTTGTACAAAGTACCTCTTTTACATACCAACATCTACTGCTCTGAATAACCCTTGTCATCTAAGTGATCTGCTTTTATTAAAATCTCAGATATGACTCTCAGACAAGCTTTTTTTAAGTAACCAACCAATGGCTCCATATATTATAGACAGTACATATATCAAGAGAACCATTATGGTTGATTTTATATCCATTAGACATAACTGGAATGTGAAGTGCAGCAAGGTACTTGGGCACACAGAATCTGATACTCCAGTTACACTGAGAATTGGATTCCAATCTCAGGCACACTCTGATTTTCTGCTTTAAAGTCAGCAAAAGAGGATTTTGGAAATTCAGGCTGGTTATGTTGTTCCTTGAAAAATTGCACAGAATTACTCCAAAAATCGACTTCATCCCACAATGGGACTTCTTACTGGTCTTGTGAAATTCTTGACTGCCCAGGAACTTTTAAGGGACTGTAATTTATTGTTAGAGTACTTAATTATTAAAATGCACACAAACTGGTTTTGGTGTCAAATCATTACTCTTATACTTTCTGATACTAACTGTTGCAATTTAGAACTATTATATAAGAACAATTGCATTAGAAAAATCATTGAAAGTTTGAATACATCTACAACCTAACATTATTCAAATGCATAATGTTCTTAGTTCAATTTTTAGAAAAGTTTTCTGCTAAACCTTCCTTCTCCTCACTTCTGAGATAGTTTCCTCCTTTTTAGTGGACTCTTTGTCGACATAGTCTCATTTAGGTATAAATTCTCTGGGTGCAGGTGTCAGGCGAAATTGGAGTACTTGAGATAAGGAAGCTTTATGCTTTTGTTAAAGTATATCTTATTAAAGTCCACAGCTATAAGTCTCCAAGACATAAAGTTAAACCTGCATAGTTCCTCATACATAGATGAATCTGTTCAAAATCCACTGCTTATCCAGCTAGCATCATGCTATCATGAGCCAAGTCGAAAGACTCACGGACACAGTGACCATTAAAGTTCAGTCTGACAGGTCAATTACCAAAAACACTTGAGAACATTGCAGACCTACCTCCCTCAGGTATTAGATCCACAAACCCACCATTGAACACGGTCTTAAATCCAATTTCACTTCACCGGGACACATGAGAGCCAGCAGGATAGTCACAAATTAGTCTCCATACAACTGAAACACACAGCTTTGAGTTCTTACTAGACAGCTGACAGAACTTCACATTCTTGGTGTCGTTCAGGGAATAATAAACTGGTTGTTTGGCTCAGCACATTTTCACTGATTTCAGACAGGCAATCAGGTGTTTATTTATATCATGGACATTGCATCTGTTTCTGCTATTTAGTTAATCTCCCAAAGCTAACAATACAATTTATAAATTCTAACAGCTAATAGATTGTTTATTTAAGTACAGCAATGACAGGTTCAACACTTCTATTGAGCTAGATTGTGTTTCAGCACAGCATGAAATCAGCAGAAAACTGCACTGAGGTCAACAAATTTGACAAAATAATTGAAGCCATGTAAATTTAGGTTTTTAATCTTTTGAATAATTAGCTGCAGGAATTTATTATTCATCAGATTTTTCTTCAAATAAAATGTTCATCATCAGTAACTTAGATTAAAATTTACTTTAAACTCCCCAAATCATCTGGATAATCAGAAAAAATCCTGACATAAAACTTGATGTTGCTGGATGAATTTGGACCTCGATATAATCAAAAACAATGTTGATTGTATGAAAATGAATAGCACCATTCAAACAGCAAATAAAATGCCAACAATACCCATCAGTCATCAAGCTTTCAGCCTATCTGCCCCCACTCTTTAGTTTCTCCAATTCACTTTGAGTGAACTAACTTTGAATTACACTTTACATGACAGCGATGTTTAATTTCCAGGATTTAACAAGATTCCTTTGTAAAAAATCAGTCACACAAAGGGAGTACGTCACAGAAACCCACGGAAATTATGCTCCAATGTGATTTACTCCCAGTGTGGTGATTCTGGTTTAATGGAAATTCCTTATTAAGAAATGCTGCAAATTAGAATCCCATGTATGAGATATATTGCAGAAGCCGCTTTAGCCGGACACCAGTTAAACCTGGATGTTGGGTAAATCGAACAAATCTCCCAACCCCGATTCATTTGTGCTCTTACCCGTTTGAATATGTCAGCTA